CACTTTATGGATGATTTTTAGGGTTGAATTTCTAGTATTGTCCATGAATAAACAGGTATATCAACATTAGCGGTTAGCTTGGAGAAACATACTAATGCTAAAGGCATGAGAGATTCCCCCGCCATGAGGACATGGCTACAATCACAGCTGTGTTTCTTTGAGATTCTTTGAGTAACACTTCTGTCATACCTGAATGAGCTCTCTTTTAACTCAAAGGCTACGTTCATACCACTGATAAGCAAGAAAGTAAATAACTTTATAAAAGTCCCAAGACATTCTGGAGATGTTTGGTAAAGTTCCTCATGTTTGCATAAAATTGGTAGTGTCCAGCAGTGTGTAAAAAGAAAACCAAAGGGAACCATAAACAGAGCCTTGGGGAACGCCAYTACTAAACATAGATATCTACCTACTTCAGCTAAAACTTCATAAACACACTTTTATTTTTGTGGAAACCAAAATTCAGAAAACTATTTTAATTTAATAGTTATCATAAAATAATTGCCATCAAAGTAAGACCTGAAAAAAAGTGTAACACAATGACTTTCATTTACCCCGGTCTTCAGGTCATAGAGGTAAGGTCTTCAGGTCTTCAGGTCATCAGGTCTTACATCTAAACTGAACTGGAGAATTGATCCAACAGAGAAGCTTGATTTTTTATGTTGTGGCCTCCATTTGTCTGGTCTGTTAAAGAACTCCCTGGTCTTCTTTCTGTAAGAGTTCACATACGCTTTTGTTTTAGGTCAGCACAAACACACTAACATATCTAATATTTCCATCATTTGTATGGTGTACCTGTGAACAGTTTACTTATGGTTGCTGTAATGTGTTCACAGTGTCACAGATTAAACAGGACTCTTGAGTGATTCACAGTATTTACAATTCAAGCTGTATTTTTTGTTCTAAAAGGTGATGCAGGTTAACATAGTTTCATTTCAGTGCCCATAAATGTATCGTGTGGATCCTGTGTTTGATAGCTTGGTAAAAACCAGACCCTTGTCCTTCACTTTGCTTCGTACAAGCAGACACTGCACAGAAAATCAACGGTCTGTTCTCTGATTGGTTCGGCTAAAAATCTGCCAGTGAAATCGTTGTCTATGGGAGAAATGCCAGACGGAGCCGTGAAGGGAAACTAGACAAAAAAACAAAGCAGCCTAAAAATGATCCAAACTACCTCTGCTCAATGTAAAGATTTATATATATATATATATATATATATATATACAGTATATATATATAAAGATTTGTTTTTGTCACGTAGATATAAACATACATTAGAGACTGCATGCCAGTCAGGCGCACACACAGCTGAGGAGAATAAAATGTGTGAATTGTCTAAAAAGCATTTTAATTATTACTGAGAAACAAGAACAGACATTCAGACAATAGATTTGTTAATAAAAAGCAAGCTGTGTAAAGTTGTGTGTAATTTGTGGAACAACACCAGCTGTTGTGCTGCAGGTTGATACCACCACAAGAAGAATTGAGAGGCAGCATGTTTTTGGTATCAAAGCAAACTAATTACAATCAGGTGTTTTACAGTAGATCCTGAGCCGAGCTGAGACTTCATGATCCTAAAATCTAACTGCGGCAGAAACTCACGGCGCTGCGACTTGTTTCTTCACATCAACTGTTTCATGTATAAAGTTCTAARTTCTATCAAACTCAGTTCCTCTGTGTTTCCAGTCATTTATTAAAGATGTGTAAAGATGGAAATGTCTCTCAGCCTGATGCACCGCTGTAGACAACAGCTTCACATGCGTGTGACCTGGGTCACTTAAAGCAGGAATTTAATTTTAATAATTTTCCTGCTATAAGGTAATACAAAGGTTTATAAAATAATGTTTGTATAAACTCACTATGAAATATTTCAATTTAAAGTAATTTTAGATGACAATGTCCTCTTTAAACTTTGTTGCCTTTAAACTCAATGTTAACTTCTGAGTCCTGTCAGAACTTAAACATTTCTCCAAATTAAAGTATTCTAAAAAGCTATGTGTCTACAACAGGTAAGATATTGATTGTAACTTTTCTACAGAGCCTTGCATCAAAATTGGCTGCAGTATTCCCTTATTATCAGTTACCTGTTGATTTGTTGGACTTTGAAGAAATGGTTTCTTCTTCGCTGTCAATCAGAACAGGGGGGCACTGCCTCCTGAAAAATCTGATTTTCCTCTGAAGTGTTCCAGTCTTACACTTTACTGTAATTAGGAGCTAAACTATTAATGGTTGACTTTTATCCATATTTAAAACTATTTTGTTATGCTTTTTATRTTATACTGATTAAATTTTAGCTGTCTAAATAATTGATTTAAATGTTTTTGTGTTGTTTGTTCATTCTGGTGCATGTTAATGAAGAGGTCACAGATGATTTTATTACCTGTAAAATTATAGATGCACCACAGTGCCCCCATCAGACTGACTCCAATCACAAACGCTACAAAGACGATTCCCATCAGAGGCCCAGTCTGCACACCAAGACCTACAAACAGAATGGGATAGAAGTGAAAATGTGCAAGAGCAAAAAATAAAATAAAGACTAATAAATGTTACTCACTGCTGTTCTCTGGGTCTGGACCAGCCTCTGGAGACACCTTGGCTCTGTTGGTTCTTTGTTGAACAGGGGGCAGCACTTTGGGGGCCAGTGAACTGATTGGTTGGGTGACCACCATGGGTCTGGAGAGGTTTCTGATCTCGCACTGAGATGTGAATAATGTAGGAGAAAGTTCATTGTGACGACATGGATTAGTGAGATTTGAAGAACGAGACGTCTGCTTGATGTTTRAATTGGCTAACTAAAATTACACTGACAAGAAAAAAGTCTGTTTGTCATCAAATAAAATGTAATAATTTMGAAAAAGTTCAACTTCATTTAAATCAATATTATGTTTGCTGACTTTTGTTTCCAGTTTTAACATTTCAGACATTTAAAAGCGGAGTTTTGTAAATAAGCTATGGACAATAAATATCTTACCTGTTGCAGATAGCTCTTTGAGTAACCTCAGATTGGAGAAACAGTTTCATTCTGATCAGAATGAAAAGCTAATATCAGTTTCACATCACGTGGCTATTTAAGCAGATTTATTGTAATTTAACTGCTGAGAGCCGCTGCTATTTATTCTCATAAATAACCATATAATAAATACTCACATATATACATGTTGCTACAACATACAATTTTATATTTGTTTTAAAATGGCAGCGCTTTAGTCTTAATCCCACTTGAATTAGCCACTAGTTTATCAGAATTAGACTTTGTTTTTCCAAATTGAGGTTACCTAAAAAGGCATCTAAAAGAGGTTAAATTGTTCACTGCATTTCCACCAAAGCTCTCTTTGAAATGTTTGAACGAATTCTATTAGACAMAGTTAAAGCTCTTGATCTTTATTATGAGACTGACGTCTGATTTTTATGAAAAAGGAAACAAAGAAAAGCAAACCTATATTTTTCAGAAATCCTTTAACTGTGTTTGTTGCTCCAACATGTTTTCATTGTTTTAATGTTGTTACCTGTTGCCTCACTGGTCTGGTTACAAGTGCAGGGATACGTATTTTGGTCTGGCAGTCATTTTTCTCTGCTTCCTTCATGAGCTGCCCTCTTGTTGAGTTGGAGACACACAGCAGGACAYTTAGGTGGAGGAACTGTACAGGGTTGTTAAAAACCGGGCGAAGGATGAAACTGAATCTTAGGAACCGTGTCTCCTTTCCTGAAACCCTTTGCGTATTGTTGTCCATCCTTGTGCCTTTTATTTCTGTGTGAGCATCTCTGCCCTTCTCCCAACCACCTGTTGCAGCTATTTCCTCTTTGCTTTTACTGTCCTCAACCTTCTCCTCCTTTGTTTTTGCACCGAAGAACAGCGAGGGGTCGGAGGAACAGCCGTTGCTTATCACGGTCCAGAAAGGAGCTTTTTTAGGGTCGGACAGAGGAGAGACGAAACATGACTTCACCTGCACAGCATCTACAAAGGATGCTTTGGCTGAAACCTGCAGCAGAACAGATAAAKCAAAGATTAAACAAAAATCTGAGCACAGTTTAAATCTGAACACGAGAAGAAATCAGAGAGAGACCTCCACAAAAACCCGGTGGCCAGCAGTGACGACGCAGGGCCCGATCCACGTCTGCTCGTAGCTCTCTGTGACAAAAAGCTTCAAATCAACAACAGGCTCCGATCTGTGCCTGGGGAATGGTAGCGGGGCGAGCCCCGGGATGGACTCTGGACCCAGTTTCACCCCCCGTGTGAAGCGTCCGATCAGAGGGAGGACCACGTTATCGTCAGCAGCAGCCGAACGGGGAGCAAAGCAGCTAATCTGAGAGAAACAAGCAGATTACAGGTGAAAGACTTGAAAAGACAAACTGATACCGGGTGGATAAAACAAACATCCATGTTTCACCTGCATGCTGAGAGGATGTTTGAAGTTCTTCTCCTCAAGTGTCATGACTGTCTGAGACTTGTTTCCCCACAGAAACACCTGATCAGAGACAAAGGATCAAAATGAACTGAATTAAGTACATACTGTAGACATACAGGACAATATTTTAACCTTCGCCTAATTAATGATTTTGTCCCAAGAAATCAGAGTATCTTTAGATAAATATTTCTTCACAGTTTCTGCAGATCTTTCATAGGTTCTCTTTTGATTTTTGCTGCTTTTTCACTCATTCACTGTCCAGTCCTTGTTTCAGACTTTGACTGGACAACGTTGAAAAGAAAAGCAACTATGAAAATGTAAAAATAGGTTATTTTGGTCTTAGACTCACTCAGCTAGCTCTTATCTTCCAGAGCAAACTTCTGCCTGAGCTGATAATGCTCTGATTGATTTCTGCTGCAGGTAAGATACTGATTATTATATCCAAAAACTAATAGAAGAGAAAATAATTGTGGTAAACAGAAC